AATCAGGCACACAAAAAAAATTGACTGTATTCTTTTGTATTTTTAAAACCAGTTAGCTCAATTTCCAATTATAAAAATGATTTCAGTGTTTCATAGGAGATTCTAATAAATGAGATTGTCTGAATTATTATTGCCCTTTTTATGTATCTATTATCTGGGCTCCATGATAGGACTGCTTTGAGCACTTTTAATATAAGCTGTTTCCACCATATTATAGTCCCCTATTTGTATATTGGTATATGCTGGATTTGCAAATTTCCTTACATATACATAAAAGGTCATGCTGGATTACACTTAAAGTACCATTATAGATTGATCACAGAACAATTTATGAATGGTATTTTATAATTTCATTTTCAAAAAAATGCACACTTAAAAAAAATTTTTATGATAAAAATTAGTTACCAATAAGTCATCTGAGATTCCTGCCAGGATTTTATTTTAATGTACTTTATGCTCTGCCTTGCCTAGAATGCAAAATAATAATAATAATAATAATAATAATAATAATAATAATAATAATAATAATAATTGGAGCCCTTGGGGCAATACCCAAAGGGCTACCCCGCTATTTAGAAATTCTAAATTTGCCAGACTTGAACATTTTGACTCTACAAAAAACCACCTTACTCAGAACAGTTTAAATCCTCCGACGATACCTTAACAGTTCCTAGGTCCTTGGTTTGGACTCGAGCTGCTGAGCTATTAACCAGCCTCAAAGGCTGTGAATCTCACTAAAGAGTAACCAATAATAATAATAATAAAATAATAATAATAATAATAATAGGTAGACATATTCCAGTTCTGGTTTTGCTTTAAGTCTCCTTTGAAAAATTACAAAGTATAACCATTTTTTTCTTCAAAATTTAGGTATCATTTTCTTGAATAAATCCTAATACAAGTTTATTCAAGGGCAATTTTGTATGCTATATAACAATCAATTAGTAATTAAAGTGATTTAATCCAAGTAACTAATTAGGAAATATATTTCACCTAAATGTGTAAGCAGCAGCACAAAGTTCTCCCTTACTAGCGTTCCAAAATGGTACTACCAGAGAGCATCAATAGTTATGGTGTTCTGTAGGATAGCAGATTACAAAAATGAATCAGCCACATTTCAACACTTACTATTTTGGCTGATCCTAATCAATTGAATTCCAGGCTGTGTAGCATTTAGGGATGTTCATTCATTTCACTGAATTTGTATGTGATTTTATCTCACTGTTCATCCACACTGAATACTCAAGACCATTCTGAATATTCAAGACCACTAACAATAATTAGAATATAAAATACAAATCAAACATGAATTTGTGTTCATCATTGTTAAAATTATTAACAAATCAAAGCCTGTTGGACAAACTGTCCCTTGGCTAAAGACATAGACAGTGAAAACACAAAGTGGTACAAAGTTGTTGCCAGGGGGTGGTGGTGAGAGTTTATTGGGTTCTGCATTTGGGGTTTTACTACCTGGAGTCACTGTAAATTGGGTGGTCATATAAATTTCATCAACAGAAAAGAATATTAGTAGCACAGGATTCAATGGTGGGGTCCTTGCTGCTCTCTGAACTTGGTTGTTTTTTTTTTTTGCAGATGTTTCATTACACTGATGATGTTACCTAGTTGGGCAATAAAAGGTCTTCAAGAAAACAACCAAGCTTAAAGGACACCAAGGATCCCAAATATATATTTTTTTCTTAATAAATAAATAAGTGCATTCCATAGTAAGACCACTTTCTTCAAAAGAAGATTGCTTTTCTTGCAAATGAATGGGTCTCTGTAATTTGGAGTTGAATTGGAGTTCAGAAGAGCCCTCCCCTCCTGATTTTACTGTCTGTCTAGGTTTTCAACAAGAGACAGTCAGACTTTAGGATATTCAAGTCTCAACACCTTAAATTAAGGCTGTGAGAAGATGGCAGTTGGTATAGATCACGGGCGTCAAACTTGCGGCATCACATTGCTGTCATGTGATGTATCACAACATTTTTTCCCTTTGCAGAGCTGGGGTGGGTGTGGCCTGCGTGTGACACATCCGGCCTTCAGACCACCAGTTTGACACTCCTGGTATAGATTATCATGTATGGATAGCTATTTATTCTGGAACATACTGAGTAGTCTACCTGCCAACTTTTCAATCATTTGAAGTTTCTACACACTTTTCAGGACTTACTAGACAAAAATAGAGTGCTATATTCAAGATGGGATAAAACCAAATCATAAACAGCCAAATCCCATCAACTCAGGAGTAAATGGCATGAACACAATTGGAAAAATTGTGCAGTGATAAAGCTGACAATGTCCTGATAAGATTCTGATATCTAAGGACCAAGAAGCTATTAACAGAGTTGCTTGCATTTTGTATTGTCCTTACAATGATGAGCTAAGGGGATGGAGGACTGCTATAATGAACTGCTGCATATTAAAATTTATCACTACAGTTCTAATACTGAGCATTGCGTGAATACTCTTAGCACTTTGAAATATTGACCAGACAGAGGCTAAACAAAGCACTATCACATTTATAGGTTGCAGAGGAAGCATTGCAGCTGTTATTTTTATATTGGTATGCTGTAGCAAGGGAATGTTTTAAGAAAAAATGGTTTTAATTAGCATTTGCAACAAACCAATTAACCAACCAGAAATGTTCCATTCCTTGCTCACAAAGCCAGATACGCAAACGGTTGCATGATTAATTCTTAGAATAAAATATTTGTCTATTAAACAGATGCCCATGTTCTTCGTGCACAGAAATGTAGCAATATTCCATAACAATTCTAAGCCTGAGGTCATTTGACAAAATTAGCATTCAAGGAACATCTAGGAAAATTTTATCACTTTGAATGCTTTATTAATATATTTACTGGGTATGACAAAATCTCATCTGAATGGTTATAGAAATTTGGAAACAATTTATGGCTAATATGTTTTTTAATCTCCAACTTTGGTGGCTATTTATTTATTTATTGAATTTATATTGCCGTCTATTCGCCTATGGCGACTCAAGGTGGCTTACAAAATAAAAGACCACATTTAAAACAATAAATGTGCTATTGCTTGTTATATGACTCTATCATCAAAAGTGAACAACGTTTGGTAGAACAAGTACCCAAAACCAAGCCTCTTTTTAGTAGACTAGGATGCTCTAGAATGGATAAGACCTTAAGCTGAATGGAGACACATAGTTTACTTGAGATATTAAGAAAAGAAATCTGAGAATTTGTCATTGGTGCCTGTGTCATTCTCTGTAGCTGATGACAGAAATGATATGCCTTATGTAATTATTTTGTATGTCCGTATTCAAGCAACCGTGAAATATGATCACTGTTTTACAGAGGTTGTTAAGTTTATGAGTTTTGCTGTTGTATTTTAAGACACTGGTCAGTTGAGCCATACTTAGTAACTTCCTCCAGTCTTTTCAGCTTCTTTGGTGAAAAAAGCATTAATTTTTATATTGTAATACTGTTGACAATAACTTAAACAAGCTAGACAAGGCTTAGATTTGATATACTATACAATAACGTTGACTGTACATACATCGTTTTTATAGCAATTTCGATTGCACGTAATCCTAAAAGGTCATAAAACTCAGATGTGGAATAGTGCTACACTACTACAAGTTTCACATTCTAATGCAAATCCCATCCCTGCCATGTTTATATGACATCTCCCAAGTTTGAAAGAAATAACAGTTGCAAAGCTGTATCACTATAGTTAAAATGTAATAACTATTTTTTTCACTGTAACATATGTGAACAATGTCTAAGATGCTGGCAGCAGGGGGAGTATTTAGAACATAATGATTTCATTAATATGAAAAACAGGAATGCACTTCTGCAAATGTAATAATTTTGTGACAACAAAAAAAAGAAATCTGAACAGGGAGTTCAAACATAATGATAAAAAAAGAGTCTGTGTTCCAATCTGCAGCATGCAAAGCAATTTTGGGAGCATTTTGATGGCAATATGATGATACCCTCACAGAGTCATCATCATGCCACAATTATGTACTTGCATCCCAACCATGTCATCATCCCAACAATGTCATCATTGACACACATTTTTGTTTATTTCTTCCCAACTCAACTTCTCTGAGTATTTGTTTTTTTTTAAATAGCAATTTATTATTGTCTTTCAAACCTAAAAAGGAAACTAGTTGAAATAGATTTATAAATCTGATTTAGAGAACAAATGCAAAACTTGATTAGACATTCAGAAGCAATGTTGAACATTGGCTTTCTTGAAACTGGAAATTAAAGAGAGTTTTGACATATTTAATGAGAAAGGACGATTTAAACTCAAGACTTCATCCTGAAATAGGCTTTCACCATGGTAACTGAAATGACTTTTACTGTAGTGTTTGCATACACAGGTGAGTACTGGCACAGGATGATATTGTATTGTTCTATGCATATCATGTCATAGGAATTTCTGGCCAAGGGAATTAATGGGTGCATGAGTGAGCCAGTGAGATTTTTTAAAAAATCTGTGCTTGTTAGGACTTTCGTAGTTCAACACTGAGCAATTTGTGTTGATGACAGCAATAAGTAACATTGTTAAAACAATCTATCATTTATTATGTTGAGTGAACTCAACCAACATATACACTGGATGACAAGAGTTCTCCAAGATCTTATGAGCCATTCTGTTCCTTTATTATTTTTTTAACTGGAGATGTTAGGAACCGAATCTTAGTCAGCCTGCATGTAAACCTTTTTACAAGTCAGTTTAGTCTAGTTAAGGCTAGAAACCAGGAGATTCTAGAAACTCTAGGATGTTCTAATCTTGCCATAGGTATGAAAGAAGGCTGGGTGACCTTGGGCCAGTCATTCTCTTGCAGCCCAACTCACCTCACACAATTGTTGTGGGAAAAATAGGAGGAAGAATGAATATTCAATATGTTTTCCACTTTAGGTTGTTTATAAAGGCAGGATATAAAAATATGATAGTAATAATAAATACATTGTCTTTTCATATTGTTTCACAACTATGGTTTCACATACCTGAACACCATCTGATGCAGGGATATAACTTGCTCTCTTGAATGTATCTGTAACATTTCTGAGAATTTCCACAGAAACTAAAAGATCCCCTGCGTAAAAATTCTTCCTCTGAGTTAAATCCAAGAGAGTCTTTGTCACCTGAGACATTCCTTCACCAGCCAGTGTCCTCTGTCCTTTCGCAAGATGTTCTTTAATCTATAAATAATAAAGGAAAATAAAAACATTAGAATCTATTCTACTACATATTTTTAAAATGCTACAAAATTATTTTGGAAAGGGTGAGAGGGGGGTATAAAGCTGTGGCCTTAATTTCATTTTGTGATTGCTTGTTTTGAGACCTTCACACAGTTAGAACCTTTCCTGAAGTTTCATTGCATTATTTTCATTATTCATCTGTGTTCATTTTGGTGTTTGGGTTTTTAAGGATAGTGTACTGTATGTACATTAAAATTACACTAAAGGGAGATACGATGGAACAAATGTTAGGAACTTCTGCTATAAACATTTCCAAGTTCAAAAACTCTACTGTATAAATTGCTGGGTAAATGCTTCAAGTCAAAACATTTATACTGCCCATACAGATCTTTGTGTATTTACTATGACACTTAGGAGCATGGAAATAATCAAAAACAGACTCATCTGCATTCCCGCAGCTCCCTCCTACTTTTAGCTCTATGCTTACAAGTCCTAGGTTTATAACATTACTGACATAATTTGCAGAAATTATGTAAAGTGTGTGTGTGTGTGTGTGTGTGTGTGTGTATTGGGGGCTGGAAAAACCACACAAAAAGCTGGTGCAGATCTAATGAACTGGAGAATCTGGAGGAACATTATTTTTTAAAAAAACCAGCTGTAGCTTTATATGGAGCTTTCATACATATTTTCTATGAAAACCAGACATCACTGCACAAATAACCACTTTATGATAGCAAATAACCACTTTATGATAGCAATCTACATTCTATTCAAGACACTGGCAGAGCATTGATTTATAGGTTCTTTTATATTATGTATGTCATAGAGATAAGTGTGAAAAGAATAGCACAGTAGAATCTGACTGACTCAGGCTTGCTGTAGTTTTGAGTAATTTATCCCCTAAGATGAGTGACTGATGGGATCAAAACATGCTGGAATTTATTTTGGTACAGCATAATAAGTTCTATTTTACCCAGCTGATTTCTTAAGAAGCAAAATCCAACTCTATGCAATTGCCAGGTGACACTCTTCTTTTTTTCTATCTCCCTTGATGTTTCTTTTGAATTTAAATGGACGATGTGATCTAAACCACATAGAATCACTCTATGAGGCAGGTGGGCTGTTTCTAAGTGTGATTTACAAACAAACACTTTTAAGAGGAATAGATGGAAAAATCCTCTTTTTGTCTATGTAACTGGACTTGATGTTTGAAGTTACTATAGAACTTATCCAAACAGTCACTGTTGCACGTGGAAATGGTGATATCTCCTTGTTAAAAGAGAGGAACTATATATTGCCATTCACATATATATGAGAGCTTTTTATTGCATATTTTCTGCTCTGTTGCCCCCATCTTACATATCTTATTTGGAAAAGGACCAACAACAGGACCAGCAGAATAAAAGATAAACAGGGGGAAATCCAGTGGCTTCAAAGGAGGTAAAAATAAACCAACAAATTGAGTAATTATGACATGAAGTCAAGGGATGATGATAAAATATACCTTCTTAGGGGGAAAAAGACAACCTTGAAGTAAACAACAAAGGGACTCAGAATTGTATGTAAAAGAGCAGAGTCTATTCTATCCAAAATTGTCCACTGAGTAGATAGCAAGGTTTATACTACTCTTTTCTACATAATTATTGTTCTACATAACAATCTAGTAAGTAAAGTATATTTTATCTCCTTGATTGTTTTTTTTTAATAATAACAGAAAATGTCTTTGCAGTCCAATAAAATAAGTGGTTCCTTCACTTGGTATTAGATATTTTGAATGCAAAATATATAGAGATGAAAACACTTTTGTGGCTTTGACTATGAAATATTTCCAAATTATGCACAAAAACATTAGATACTCTTTTGGAAGAGATTATTTTGTCATCAATAAATCAGTAGATTAAAGATACTGTCAAGATATTTTGGCAAGAGCAATCCAAATTCAGTTAACCATGCTATCTTCTCTTTTGTTCCTGTGGCAAAGGTGCATTGGGTTTTTAGTTACAATCAAACTATTGCTTTATTAATAATTTAATCGAGATCTTTTAAGATAGAGAATTTAAGGACAAATTATACAAGTCCCTAAGTCTATGAGTAGAACTCCAACTGGCTCAAGTACAATAATAACATTCCTCATGAGTTAAATTTAATCACAGTGTGAAGCAGTTGTTTTATTGTAGGTATTTCTACTTACAAATATTATTTGCCATTTTGATTCTATCACATGGGGCTGCTTATATTTTATGACTCTGTAAGGAACTTCCTTCTTCCCTTCCCTTTTCTTGCTCAGTAAAAGCTGGCAGTCAGGCAGGGAGGGATTTTTAAAAATATAGACTTTACAGGATGGGCTACTCTCTTGAGCAATAACCCTCCTTCCTTCCTTCCTTCCTTCCTTCCTTCCTTCCTTCCTTCCTTCCTATAAACAATTCTTTTGTCACTATAATTTTCTGCAAGGTATGTTAGGCTGAAAGAAACTGAAGATTTAATAACTCTTGAACTTCAAAGTTCACCAATTATATTTATATAGAGCCCATGCACCTGTGATTTCTGCAGGGCTGGTTCTTGCCTTTGCCTCATTTCCAACTGTTCTGTGACTAACTACAAAATGTTGCCCTTCCAATTCAAGGTGCCTACAATACAATTCAATTTAATACAAGATAGGATGTTGTTAAAGGCAAGTTATATCAAATGATACTTATTTTGGATAAAATGTATTTTTGCTTCTGTTATGTTTATGCTTTTGTAGTTCCAATCTTAATATGTAATTTGAATTATTTACTTTTAAGTATATATTCATATGATGTTTTGATTATAATATCAATGTGAATAGTTTGGTTACTTTTTGTAACTGTTAATGAAGAATTTTGAAATGTGCTAATTATCTTCATCTTTGAATTCCTCCAAGCAATTGAAAATACTACTTAAAACAAACATGTGATTGTATAGTTGCTAAATTGTATAAAATAATTATCATTGTTTTCCCTTTATATCTAGACAAGGTAATAGATAGTCAGACAATTTTGTTTAATTTTCCAAACAAAGCTATTTTGTTTGGAAAATAAAATAGAAGTTTGCTTATGTTATAAAATAAGTGTTTTTGATTCCCCCCCCCTATTTTGTATCATATTGAGCATGGATAACCATGGGTAAAAAAGAATAAACGGAAGAATCAAGTTCCTGTAATATTAACCCAATGGAAATTGATAAGGAAAGGCCAAATGAGTAGCAATAATGAGCCACATGAAACAAAGTTGAATGGAAATAAAGATTGAAAGGGTACGAGTAGAAATAGGAGAAGAATTTAGGATAATCCTCCTCTATTCATTTGGCCATTCTTACGATTGAAATTCTTTTTCCTATACAAGCCTCAATATTTAAATACATTACCTCAACCCTTTTTAAAACCATTAGCCATTGCCAAGATATTGCCATTGCCAAGTCCTTGTTCTTCGATTCAGTATTGACCAAAACAGACAGATTCCCATAATTTCAATAATTTTACGTAAAAAAAATATTGCTGTGTTGTCTTAGCAAGTTGTATCTGCCAATTTTATAGGGACAGCAGTCTTGCCTTCTGTGGCATATGTTTACCCTGTATGAGGTTTTATGTCCAAAATAACAGATGGCATGATGCTGATTTTTATAGCTAGATGGCTCCATCAGTTTTCCCACAAATATAGTTATTAAAAAAACCTAGACAATGCCTACACAAAATTCTTAAAACAGTTTAGAAAATTTTGTATATTTTTTTTATGTAAAGCAATATTACATTATGTTTGGAACCTATCTACCAATTTTATAGGGACAGCAGTCCAGAAATCTGTTATGGAACCAGTTTTATGGAACACCATTAAAAATGAACAATGCTATGTCCTTGTTGGTCTGTTATTCGGCAAGTATAAGTTACACAGATGCATCTACTCCAAAAGCTCAAGTTCCCTCTTGAACCCAGAGCCTGTGGAATGTCTTTAACTTCGCTGTTTGTGAAATGTCTGTGCTACCCATTTTTATTTGGACTGTAAGCAAATAATTGTTTTCAATCCTATCTCTTAATATTGCAATTATCTAATATTAATCCTGTTGACACTGAAATGCTGTGTGAAGAATTTGCCTTCTAATTATGTTTAATCAAGGAGAACATCTTTAAGAGTTTGTCTTTTTTATCTATATAATGCGAGTTGACAAGAGGAAGAATCAAGGAGGAGGAAGCTGAATTTCAAAAATCTAGGTTGAATGGTTACTTTTAAAAATGGTATGTTGACAGATAAAACTTGGGGCCAAATGATATGGTTCTTCTTATTTTAGGAAACGAAGGCTTGGGGTGATATATTGTGACTGTATTTTAAATACACTCAGGCTGTTAATCTATGCCATGGTTCTTTGGGTTTATATTAAGATTAATTACTGTCACTTGGGTGGGTATGCAGATAGAGACATAGCAAAAAATAATTAATCTGTGAACTGTATCTGCTACACTGAACGTCTTTCGGAAATTGGTGGAGGAACTGTTAATAGTTAATTATCCAATCACCTGGATACTGTTTAACACTGTCATTGCCACACTATTGATTTTTCTGGCTTTTTACCTTAGCTAGCTGATTTTCTCTTCCTTTTAGTTCCTGCATCCACATAGGAAATTCTGTGAAACCATCCAATTGTGATTTATTCATTGTACTATAGTTATCCAATTTAGTGTAGTGTGCAAACCCAGTATATCTTGATATTTATCTGTTTATTTAAATGGATTATATGGCTGTTTATCTTGCTATTGGAGAAAGAGTAAAGAAGGCCAGGAGTATATACTCCATAAAGGATCACCCAAGCCATGTAGGTCATCCCAGCCCCCCAACTTAAGCAAGCAGGCTCCTATGTAGGAGAGCAGTGATATAGGAAGGTACTGGAGGCAGATGATAGAAGATCAGGTCCACGCATAAAGTCCAATTAAACTGATTTATTGTTATTCATGCCTATGCACAGGACTCTTTTCATTTAATGGTAAGCAT